TGATGAGCATAATTTCTGTCTGAATTTCTGGGATGAAGTGTTATCAGTATTTAAATGTGGATTATTGTCTTTGTTGCTGTGCCCTCCAGCTCTCATCAAATGTATGTCTTTTATTTAATCTACAGGGTAGATTGCTCTCATTCCACTGTCCATGATGATGGCTATTCTCATCTAGTTTTTATTTCCATACAGTCCAAGTATACATTGCCTGGCTCAAGGATTGAACTTACAATTACTTTGCTTACTAGTGCTTTAATCCATTAGACTATTGTCCCATCAGAGAATTCTGTATCAAAAACTTAGACCCTGAAACCTAACCTGCCTGCTTATGAGTGCTACTGCTGTTTGTCATGCTTGACTGCACTCATTGAAACTTCTTGTTAGAAATGCTATTGATGTTGAAGAACTTCTTTCATTTGTCTTTCTTTCTTAGTGGCTCCTATATCGTATTTATTTCTATGCTAGGCCTAAGGAAACCCTCATAGCTTAGCATGTGCATCAATTCTTTCAGCCATTTAACTCCCCAATGATCTTTTTGTCCAGTATTTTCACTTCATTCCACAGGTTTTGATAACTGCCCTTTTCTTTCCATACATGATCAGTCATGCCTGATTTCATTGTCTCTCCCTTTACTATGTCTTTTCAATGTTCCTCCAGCCTAACTTTTTGGAGGTGGCTAGTTTCACATTTATATTCTTTACCACAACTGCAAGGAATGGAATACAAACAGATCTTTGTCATATTTTTCCCTGCTTTAGGTTTGACTTGACAGATTTTTCTATAGAGTGGGGCTGCTTCTGAATATTGTTCTGACATTGTATGGATTGCAAGTCTTCTGTATCTTTTCTGATAAGCCTTTAACATAAGGCAAACAGACTGGAAATTTTCTAGTTTTCCTTCTTAACCTTTCTATTTCCACCTGCAGATGCTGATGTTTGCAGGATAGTTGTTATTCTGAAGGGTACGCTTCATACTGATCATTTCTTGTTGGTATGTGTTTAGATCACCACTTATGATTTTTGAATGTTGTTGTAGGCATTAGATGATCCGTTTCTTTAAAATGTATGAATAGTGGTAATTGAAGTTGAGGTATTGTCCAGTGAAGGTTGGCTTGTGATGTCTTGAACTCATTTTCTGTGCAAGTTATTAGTACATGCAGGAAGGCTAGTTGATTATTTTCTTCTATTGTGAACTGGATCAAAGGTCCAGCAGTATTTGTACAGCTGCCTGGGGAGGCAAGAGTATGAAGTTGAATATATTGTGTCTTGTTTCATATTCAATTACCACCTTACTTATTTTACCCCACTATAGTGATTTGTCCATAGTTTCTGTCAAACCTGTCTCCTATTGGTATATGTCAGGCTCTTGTTGGAAGAATATTGTCTGTACACAGAACTTGAACATTTCCAGAGGATTATTTATTGGAATGTTAGTATGTTCTTCAAGTGAGTGGTCTGATTCCAATTGGTTTCAAACCACTGTCAAAGCTTAATTTACAGGAACTCTGAACAGGCTCACCATATCCAAATTTACCATCCAATTGCTATGGATGGGAGCTCCTTGAATCAATTCCACAAATTGTTCCAATTTCCTAACATAAAATAAAATCTTCCCTGCTTGTGGGTTGACTATATCCATTAGGAATCTGTTCAGTGGTGGGTGGCATGGCAAGCCCTGCAACTTACTATAAGTCACATTGGAATACCAACTTTGTGAATCCTGGAGAGACCATACATATGCAGCAGCTTGGTGTAATATTGAGTCAGCTGTCAATACCTATTCAGTGTGACATAGTCTTTGTTCTTATTTAGGATTTGTGACAGCTTCTTCTCAATATTTAGGGTCAGATCCTTTTTCACCTTGCTGTAGCTATGATTCCCAATTAGGCATGACAATTTTTTGGAGTACTCCAATTTGTTTATCACCACCAATCACTATCATTAACCTTTCTTTCCTTGTGATGCTAGATTTAGGTGGTTTGGCCTTTTCTAGTGCTTTTCTGACTTCCCATATTAATTCATCTGCCTGGGTCCTCCATTGAAGCTATCATATCTAAGTATGGAATGTGCCTGATGGTAGTGGCTAAGTTGAGATCCTTGTTTAGCACTGATTCCTCAGAGGCACTAAACAGCTGATTGCTGATATTGATGACTTGCTATTCTGTCTGTACTTTCATCTATGCAAATTTCTCTATTTGATATGCATTTTTTTCTTTAAGCAATAGGAATGTTTTGATTCCTGAACACAGCACATTGTGGCCATGTTCATAATTAATGGAATTAAAATTAAAACATTTCTATTGCTAAAAAAAAAAGAAATTTCCATCACAATTTACAAATTAAGAAAAACAAACATTCTTGATAATGGCTAATATATTAACCAAAAGTGTTCACATCCAAAGATCATTTGAGCCGTTCTTACACACTGACTAAAAAAGAAATCTCTTGTATACATGCAAGAAAAATATACTAAAAAACTTAATTGCAGTGTCTTCAATGAAATCTGTATGTATGCACACATACACACACACACTCTTATTCAGAATTGGATATCACCAAATAAAGTTTACTTATTGAACATTAGTCTGTCATTTACTTATTTGCATAGAAAGTTTGTATCCTCTCTGTGAGGATGCTTTTCTAAGGTTATCAGTTAAAAAATAAAATTCATGAAAAGCAGCAATCAACCGCAAGTATTTTTAAGTAGGAAAAAAAGTAGCTCAAAGAGTTAATTTGTGAGGCAGCTGGAATTTACAGGTGTAGTTCTTGCTTACCACTTTGATGTAATTTTTGCTATATCTAAATCTGGCTGTTACATGAGTGTGTGTGTGTGTGTGTGTATATATATATATATATATATATATATAAAAACTTGTTAAAACCTGTTAGTGACTTATTTTCCTGGTAGTTGTGGAGCAGGTGGGGGTTCAGTATGTTTAAGTAGCAAGGGTGAAGCCATAAGATACAATGATTGAACTCATTCAAATGCATAAGGAAAAGATTAAAGAATGGAATGCCAAGTTATGTGTTGTTTGAACTATGAGAGTAAATTTTAGAATGTGGGGAAATAAGAAAAATGTTGCTGATAAACTGGTCTCTGTATAATTGACAGATGAGACTGTTTTAAGAAAATCTATTGTGACTTTTACCTGATGACTAGAACAGTCACGTTTATGCAACATTTATTAATGCATGTCAACAAATAATGAGATGTACAAAAAAAATGATACTTTTATTCTTACACTATCCATATGCTGTGTTGAGATCACATTTCAAGCATTGATAAAAATATGCCACATAAAATCAGTCATTTTTTGTAAAGACACAAGTAGAGGGGACATTTGAAAGGGTACATTAACAGGGAACCTTTTAACAATATAATGCTTTTAAAAATGCTTGTATTTTATGATGATTTTTTTTTAACCTTATTTTTTATTCATTTTATCTGGTTCATTTTTGTTTTCTCTACATTGAATTGAATGAAGATAACACAATCAAGAAGTAGTTGGCATTGACATAGTCTTGCTGAAATAGGTAGTAAGCAGATAAACTAGATCTCTAACTCTCGACTTGTTTAATCCTTCCACTGTCTATATGTCTGTCTGTCTTCTGGGGAGGTGTGTGCATCTCCACAACAATTTTTCTGCCTTCAGAAGATGAAGCCTGTCCAAAATAATAATGTAAAGAATTATTGTAGTAAGAAATTGCCTATAAAAATAACAAGATTGTTTAAAAGAAAGTTTTTATATCTTTTAATTTTTTAAAAAATCTTTTTATTTTATATTTGAAGAATCTTTGTAAAAATGAAAAAAAAAATCCCACTTTTGACAAATAGATGAGACATAGAATGGAAAAAGTATGTTATTTTATTTATATTTTGAATCATGGAGGAAAATATTAAACTGAAACTAGATAAAGGTAGACATGTTGGAAAACCCGTATGAAGTGGTGCAAGCAATGCAACCATTTTCCCTATTAATTTCCATTTCATTACTCATGCAAAATTTTATCACGTAAGAAATGAATATTCTGTTATTTCCTCTTTACTCTTAATAATTAGGATGGGCAGGATTTTTCTCAATATGCAATAAATAGGAAAGATTTAATAAAGTGGGGGCATGGAAAATCATTTAAAAGGTCAAAAAGTACAGAATTAATGAGGTGGTCTTAATTTCATCCCCCCCTCTATTAGGTACCTAAAAGTACATGCTCTTCTCTTTGTTCACAATTTCTGGGGATGGTTTGATTTGCACTATATTCCTCTTATTTTCTGGTTTTGTTATTACAAGATTTGGACATATGGTTAAAGCAGGTGGAATTTGTTTTTTTTTATCCAAAATGATACAATACTTTCAGTATTCTTTGGGAATGGTTTTTAAAAATTAAGGAAATCAGGCAATGTAAATTGTGTGAATGTACAATTCTGATTTCGAAGAGTTTAGCATTTCCAGGAATAAAATTTTGAATCATAACTAAATGATAGAATTAGAAAAATACTTTCCTATGAAAAGGTTTTATTACTTTGTTATAGTGATGTTTGACTCTGTATGGGAATTTTCTAAGTGTAGCTTAGATGTGGCACAAGGCTGAAAATATGGGGACTCTGGATCAAACTCACTATTCAGTTGTAATTGATCTACTGAGACAAGATTGCTAATCATTACACTATGTCAAAGTGCCCAATGATGTTTGATGCTATATGGCCCATATATATATATATATATATATATATATATATATATATATATATATATATAAAAATGTATGTGCCAGAAAAAAAATTATATCCAATTAAGGATTTGTAAAAAGAATAAGACAAATATGGCATATCTGAAAGCTTAATAGTCATGTGATATGGATGAAACTACAAGGAAGCAAACCAATATGAATAAAATTTTGATACCTTTCTGATATTTTCTGTAACTGTTTGAAAGACAAAGTATTATATAACTTATATATATATATATCTAAATTAAATTATTTTTTTATTTTTTTTTGTAGGATGTTCTCGAAATTGATGAACCAGGGGTCTCAGTTTGTGATGGAAGGAGTCAAAAATTTAGTCGTCAAAAAACATGTAAGAATATTCTCATGTTTTTTCTTCATACTTTCAATATCATTTGTTAAAGATTACTTTTTATATTCTGTTCATTTACGTTCTTTGGACTGGATTTTTCATCATTAATTAATGAGCAATTTAACTTTATCCATGGAGGAAATATCTTAATTGTGTAATTATTTTTATACAGAGTGAAAGTAATTTATAAAAAAATTTAAACAATTGGTAAATCAAATTTATGATCAAATATTGATTATCTAAAATTATTCTTATTTTGATACCCTATAATTGAAATGGAGGAAATTTTAATTTTTTAAAATTTTATATTGCTATATAATAAAAATCCTTATTTAAAAACAAAATGTTTTGACTCAAACTGTTCTTATTTCATTTACTTTACTGCAACTATTGAGGCATTGGAGGGGGGCAAGCTAGCGAAATTCATTCTTAAGTCTTTGTCCACTCATGTTTTCTGTAGCTGTTGGTGCTATTACTTTTCTCTATTATAAATGAATGAAAATCCACCTACCTTACTGCACGGTCAATTAATGTCTTAAAATTATACAAAAATCTAGAATGCATCATCTTTTGATACCTTCTAGATTTTTGTAGAAATTTCAGACCATGCAAGAGTTCATTCTAACAACATAAAACAATGTTTGTGTGTTGTTGTTAACTAGCAACACATAAACATTTGCAGAAGAATTTCTGCACACTTATTTAGTTTATTTCTTATTCTTATAACCAACTGATGTATTCTCTATTCATGAAAACCCTAACAGTTTTTAAGAGTGTTTTTTTTTTTTTTCCTACACTAGAATCTTCCTGTCACTCGGATTGTTGATGCTCTAATGGAAATGAAATCATTACCAGAAGTTGAAGATTTTCGTTACTTTGATCCTAAATTACTCCGTGGAGATGGGTAAGCAATAATGTCTTTTCTCTTTCTCTTTATTTCACTTCCTTTCTCTCCTCCTCCAACAAAGTTTGTAAATGGACATATTTTATAGATTTGTTAGGTCCCAAAATATTACTTAGTATAAATGATACATATTATAATTTGCCAACAAGCAGGGAGACTGATTGAACTGTTGTTTTAAACTGATATTTGTATTACCATATCACAAATAATAATTTTACCTTTTCTATACACTTAATGATGTATTTCCTGGCTATTAAGAAATGCAGAAATTGATTTTCAAGATGATCACTGATAATTATATAGTGCAGAACTTGATTTCAGGATTATGCATTGCTTTTTATTAAAGTTTAATGTAAGTTTTTCTTTTTTTTTTCTCTCTCTCTTTTTCTTGTTGTTGTTCTTATTGTCATCATCATCTTGCTGGAGAGTAATTTTAAATGCCTAATTACCAAGTTCCTTTGGGGTCTATAAGTAAAAAGAACACTGTAGGTGAGTCATTTATGCACATTTGGGACGCTTCATTTAGATGGAGAGCATTTTGTGGTTGATATGTACAGTACCACACAAAGTAATCTTTTATAGCTCTGAGATGCTGATGTGTCCAAGAATTTTACTCACGTGATTTTTGGTACCTTTCTTTATTATACCCAGTGCCCCGGAATTCTGTGGGCAAATCATATCATTTAGTTGGCAGGTTCTTTCTTTGAAATCTTATGACTGTTTGGCCTATTTGCAACAATTTTCCTGTCTCTGAGAATTGGGAAATTTCACAGTATAATCAATTCCTCACCATTTGTGAAATCATTCGGCTAGTGTTTGTACCATGTATCTGAAACTTCAGTACCATAGTTTGAAAAGACATGCCAATGAATATATTGTCCTAACCTGTCATATCTAATAATGTATTGTTTCTCAGTAAGGACTGGGCACCCTGGTGTTTTCAAATACCGGCTTACCTGATATATATTCTAAAATTTGCAATATTTATAGGGGAAAAGAGTTCAGTATTGGAGATAGAGCATTTTTAGATAGGTAGTGTGGGCATAGGAATCAACACTGCATGATGACTATCAGTTTCATGCCTCAGTGTGTTCTTCGGGCCAAGTACCACTACTCCTGGAAGATTAAAGGGTGTGAGAGGAGGAAGAAACCAGGTTTTCTGGGTCTTTTTTTTTTGTTTTTTTTGTTAGGGTTAATGTTAAGGTTTATTTAGTGACCTCTAGATGGCTTATTTGTACTGGGTAGGTTTTTTTGTTATGTATTTTTCATTGGTTCTAAGTTTTGGCATTTGAAACCAAGTTCTTTAGATAAATCTCATAAACTTAGATGTACATTGTATGGGTTTCAAAAAATGCATAAATACTAATTCACTGTAGCTAAGTGGATATGACAACTTCAAAATTGTTTGGCATATAATTGTCATGCCAGGTGGGTGCAGGCTTTTATCTACCAAGAAATGTAATAAACAATAATAGGTGGTTACCAGGAGTAGAGGAATAGTTGGCTGGGATACCACTGGACAGTGGTATGTCTGAAGGATCATTTATACTAAGCAGAAGTCATAAACTATAACTATGATACTGAATAGCTAGAAAGAAACAAATATCAATCCCTACCAACCAGTCCATGTGTAGTTAGTGAAGTTGGTAGAAGAAAATAGAAGTTGCAACTGACCAATGTGGCACTTGAATTTCTTTTGCCAGGACCAACCTACTTCTCAAAATTAGGAAAAAAAAAAGATCACCAAACATTTTTTTTTTTTAACAATGTCTTGGTCAGGCTTAGAACTTTTCAATACCTTCTTTTATAAATATTTTCTTAAATTCTGAATTGTTATTATTCAAGAATTGGTTAAGATTCTTTTATTTATTTATTTTATTTTTAAATATTTATTTATTTTTTACTGTTTTGGCTGATGTGGTCATTGGTTTTCTTCAGGTGTGTAATTTGTACAGGGGGAGAATGCATTATAAATAGCTCTTGGCATCAGATATTCATATGTGTATTGTTAATTTACAAGTGAAACTTGAAAATGAAATTGGCTATATGTACTGAGTTGATAAACATAATTTTCTTAGGGCATTCACAGGACACCAGGTGTGAGAGGTTCTCACAATAGACTTTGCTCTACTAAACAGACAACAGATGTTTACCTATTGAATTCACTGCATGCTGAATTTTATACTGACTTTGCTTAAGTAGCTTTTTGTCAGACTCATGTAGACAACCACCTTCACTTTACACAACCTTTATTTCAAAGACTGCAATGGGTATCTCCTGACCCACATAGATATGTTATGTCATGCTTGAGTTCATGGCATCACCTCAAAATAAGAACTTCTAAGTTTTAGGGTCTAGTTGGTTGGCTTCTTAATCCTCTACCACAACTCCATGATATATTGTACACATGATAGAGCACAAGAGCTCCATTGTTGACTTCAAGCTTCAATCAGTTATTAACTAGCTTGCTTTGTTGTTAACTTTGTATGTCTGCTCTGTCTAAGTAAGGGGAAAGGGTTTGAATTTTCCACTTTGTCTGCTATTCATATATTGCAAGAATGTGTTTTTTTTTTGTTTTTTTTTCTTGGTTTGTGTCATCTCAACATTGTTCATCATTATCCTTGAAAGGTGCACCTTTTCTTTCACCTCATTTCTGAATCAATTAATTAAAAAAAATCTTTGCAATTGTATCATATTGATTGCTATGTATATTGTCTTTAAAAAGAGTGCTGAACAATGATCAAAATTAATGAGCTCTTCTTGCTAAATAAAATTGACATGAAGTTTTAAAAAAATACTCAACTTCATATCTGAAAAGAATAAGTGACATATAGCAATATATCATGAAAATCATAAATTGAGATGCTGAGGTGGTTTATATATTCACTCAGTTTAATGGAACCAAGTGAATATTCCTCATGCATTAGTCAGAATCCTCATGATGACTATTATTGCTATTTGATGCTTTCAAGTTGTTAGGGGGTTCAAGTGGGTCCTGAATTTTAGACAGTTTTCTAAATGACTCACTAGGCCAAAATCTTAGAGTGTCACTTCTCTGCTTGCCATCATGAAGACAGACATAAAAAATATTTACCTCAAAGAGTTCAGATTCTCTTACAAATGGGCCATACATTGATTCTTTTTTTTGTTTTTTTTTATATACATAATGTCCCAAAAGAACAGTTCCAAATGAAGACAACCTGATTTCAATAGAGCATTGATTTGTTGGTCAATCTTGGAAATGAAATCATTTATGTAGAGTAGTGAGTAGCTGTTCACAGCAGTGTTGGGATGTGAGTGCTATATAATAATATATATGTGGTTTCCATTACCCATTCCCTCAAGACGTGCATGTCTAACCCCCCGAAACCCCTGATGGGTGTGTGGGGGATGCACTTAAGGTTCATGTTTTATCAGGCCCCATTGTGACCTCTGACAGTTTATTTTTCAGCACTGTCTTATGACCATCTGCTATTTTTTAAAATTATTTTTAAACTGACATTACATTGTCAGTCATCAACTAATAATATACATCTGCATGTGCAGTGCATATTATGCAAGAACCCTTAAGAAAGTTGGATCCCCAAAAGGGGCTAGTTTCAGCAGCATTTTTTTGCTTTTAGTACTTTTTTTCTACATAAGATATATTGTCAGTCATCAACTGTAATAATCGACAGGGCCAGTGCTTACTACTCCCAAACCTCTCAACCACATGGGGGCCCAATGCCTACGGTGGACATGGAGCAGAAGTGCTAATTTCCGTAGTGCTTATTTTTCTAAATTGTAATTTTCTTTCTGAAATCAATTAAGTTAGTAACGTATCTTTGTAAAATCAGTTTTTATTACAAGATCATCCATTAAGGATCTCTGATTTTTTTTTTTATTTTTACTAATACTAATACTAATCAGAAGTCCACACCTAGTAACTAAAATAAAATTTCTAGAAAAATAAAACAAAAAAAATGATCACTTAAAAAATAAAAATGTTTAAATATTTTAACATATGAAAAATTTTCCTGAAAACTGAAATATTGTTTTTAAAACAATTTTTTAAGACAATCCTGTTGTGTTGGAATCTTCGTAAAACTTTTTTTTCTGTGGAGATGCATTGGCAATTAATCTTTATGGAAATGTCAAAATTTATGATTTAAACATTTCATTCAAGTAAAATTTAGTCATGAAAATATTGTTGCTTATTACAAAAAGAATAACATTTTCTCATTTTTTTTTTTTTAAAATAAAAACAAACAAACCTATTCGTTATAAAAGTGAATAATTAATGAATATGTACTGAAATTTTCATTTAAATTGGATAATTCCTTGCTTTTTGGTAATTTAAAAATGTGCTCCTCCCTACTACCCAATTTTCCTTTGAGGGTTTATGACCTCTAGGTTCAGAAACTTTGAAATTGACATGTAATAGAGGTGGGGGTGTGTAACCCTAGCGCCAGCCCTGCATTACTTTGAAAATTATAAGGTGTGGTATGGCTGATACAAATTCTATAGCTATGCAAAATGTTTTTCACATTCAATTGCAAGATGTCTTAATTTGGACATTCCAAATCTAGCAAATAACTAGCTGAAGCACTGCATTCACTGTTTGAGATATCATATCTGAACAAGTGAAGGAAAAACAAAAGGATATATGTAATGGTTGAATGACAATATTGTGCAATTTCACTAGCACATTAGAACCAAGAATAAAACATTGTTTTGAACAAAGGTACTACAGTAATAGTTCAATAGTAACCTACCTGGTCAGTACTGTCAAAACTTGTAATAGACAAACTCAATCTTTTATTTCTGAACTAGTTTGCTTAGCAACAAATATGAATGACACTGAAATTCTGATCAGTAAGAAGAGTAAATTGGCATTGGGCTAAATTCTTAAACCTCCATTATTGCAGATATCTCCTTTTCTTACTCACTAGCATTTAATGCTCTTGAAAAGAAAACCACTGGCCTACCAGCTACATTTCAGGTGGTAGCAGTTGCATGGT